ACTTATCCTGCTGAGCCATCTCCCTGACCCAAGGATGGTTTAATATATGCAAAACTGTAACTGTAATACACCAAATCAACATAGTCAAAACCAAAAATTATCCATGTGGTACAAGTTCTAGGCACATACAAAATAGAAGAGTTGTGAGGACAAAAAGGCTTCCACCCAGATTTAAAGAAAGGCCCGAGAGGCCAGACAGTGTCTCTGCAAGGACAGTGTAGAAAGCTCTAAGTATGAAACCACTAGAGAGTTGCAAAGTTAGAAAAGCCAAAAACATAGATCCTCCAAAAAAGAATAAGCAAAGCCAGCAAAAACAATAAACAAAAATCCATAAGAGCTACAACCACCAAAAGTGACTTGGGGCAGAGCCATCCAAACCTTTTAAAATTCACAACTAGTCACAGATTGCCAGAGATGTTAAACACAAAACAAAAATTTAATGTTTACCCTGCTAGATTTTGGTCTGACTCTCGTCCCACTTGCTGTCCCTATTGATAACATTTATGTTTTTTTGTGGTTTTTTTTGTCTTTTTGAGACAGGGTCTTGCTATACAGTTCACACTGGTTTTGAGCTCAGTTTGTAGCTCCATCTGTTCTCATACATGCAACAATCCTACCTCAGCCTCCCAAGTTCTGGGATTATAGGGATGTGCCACCATGCCTAGCTTTGTATATAACATTTAAAATAAAACAACAGAGGAAGAATTATTATCAGGCTTTCCCAGACATGCCATCTTGTTTCGGCAGGCATTCTTGTCAGGCTTTATTTAAAATTTTAATATTGCCTTAGTGTACATAGTCTGGTGCTTTCGTCCTAAAATCCTGCCTACAAGCTTTCTTTTTCATATAGGTAGTCTGACCTGAAAAGGCTGCAGTAAGCAGATGCAATCTGATAAAGAAGGAGAAGCCTTGCCCAGTGTGTGGTGATAGTACTGTTTTCTGGGCAATGTCCTGTTAGGGATTCACTATGATTTTCTTGGATGAGAGACAATTTATGAAACTTGACTCGGAGAAACAATTTAATAGCAAATACATAAAAGCACTGGTGTTAGCTTTCTGTTACTATAACAAATACCTGAGACACTCCATTTATAAAGACCAAATGGTTATGTTGGCTTAGGTTCAGGGGCTTCAGTCTGAGACTCTTTTGCCGTTGACTGGGCCTCTGGCAAGACTTCACTCCAAGACAGGAGTGGGTAGCACAGCAAAACCACTCACTTTAGGGAAAAAGAAGAATGGGTGCAGGTTCCACTGCCTCTTTAAGAGCACACACCCAGTGACCTGAAGACCTCCTGCCAGTCACCGCCTCCATTTTCACCATCTCTCCGTATCATGTCATTGAGAAAGAGCCTTTACCAAACATGTGAGCCCCTGAAGGTACTTAATGTCCAATATATGAGCACCTAATGTCTAGCTACAGAATTTAAAAATTATTAATCATAGCTTGTCTAAAATTGTCAAACACACACACACACACACACACACACAAATTATTACATGTTATATATAGTTTACAAAACAAGCTTATGTGCTTGTCTGTTACTCTTTTCTTGTTGCTGAGACACGTATCAGACACTCAAAATGAAGGAAGGAAAGGTTCATTCAGCTTACAGTTGCTGGAGCTTTCTGTCCATACTCAGCTGGCTCCAAGGCAGAGCAGCACATGGCAGGGAGCAACTTTTCATGGCAGCGGCAAAGAGCAAGAGAACAAAATGGAGAAGTAGCAGCAAAAATGGTTACACAGAGCAAGTCTATCTCCCTTAAATTGCTTTCAGGCTGTCGGCCCCAGGCTGGGAGTAGTACTCACACCCATAATCCCAGTGGATCATGAGTTAATCACAGACTCTAAAAATCTGCCCCAAGACTACATGAGGCTTTTCGGGGGACAACTAGACACCAACTGTAACAGTGCTCTACTCCTGATAAACCACCAGTGACATGGTCTTTGTGGCATTACAGGCTTTCTATAAGTTACTTATAAATCATTTATAAGGTACTA